ATGAAGACTTTCAGCTGTTTCTGTCTTTTAACTAACCTTTGAGTTTGATCAGAGGGCTGGCCGGCCTCCCTTTCACCAAAGGGCCTGCTGGCAATGGACAATGCAGACGGACTTTCCTAGTCAAGGGAGTGGGCTGGGGGCACGGCCAGCGCGCTTCGGCCTCGTCCTGGGGACAGGGGACAGCGGACAGAGTGGCTGCCCCAGCTCCAGCCGCCACCCTCAGGCTCCACAAGGCCATCGGCCGAGGGGACGGCGGTGCAGAGCCGGCTTCCTTCTGAAGGCTCACTAGGGCTCCGGTCTAGATAGATTTGCTTTTCTTTTTCCTGCTTCTTCTTTTTTATTTTTGAATACTGAGGGCAAGCACTGATGGCAAAAGGAGAGGGTGAATGGCTGAAGGGGCAGAAAGGAAGGTTAGAGAAAGGGGGCAGAAGCAAAGGGTCCCGAAGCTATGGGACGGGGCGGGGCCGGGGTCCGGGCGGGGCAGCTGCGGGGCTCCGTCTCCCGAGCCCACCTCCTGGCCCAGCGCCCGCCCGGCCTGTGCTGTCCGCATTCTGCACAGTCTGCGGGCGAGGAGCCCGCTTGGCGGCTTTCCCGCCCGCCCGTGGGTCCTGAAACAGCCGGGGCGCTCTGGCGCTGGCTCGGGCTCTCCCCTCTCCTTGCTCGCTTCTCCTCCCGGTCCCCTTCCTCCGCGCCGCCCCCCACCCGGGGTGCTCTCCTCCGCCGCCGCCTCCTCCCTCTCCCTCCCTCCCTCCTTGCTCCTCTCCAGCCTTCCCTCCTCTCTCTCACTCGCCCTTTCCTTTTCTCCCAGGTCCGGCCCAAGCCACCCCAAACCCCACCCAACCCCAGCCCACATCTGGTGGCCGGTCCAGCGCGGCTGACCGCAGCCAAGGGGCGCCCCGGTGCGCAGCCTGAATAAATCAGGAGGCCACTAGTTTCCTGCCATTAACCCACGCACTCATTTGTAACAACCTAATCTTGCATACAAAGGAGGGAATATAACTTGGACCTGCGAAGCCAAGCCTATGGCTTCACAGCTGGACTAGAACTTCAGGTGTCCCTGGAGGAGGCCGTTTGCTCCCCACCTGGGACTCTGGGTAACCCTGGGTTTCTGGGGAAATCCCCACAACCGCTTCATGGCTCAGGAGCCAGAGGAGAAGTTTAGAGACTTCCTGCACCTGAAAACGCAAGACAAATGAGGTTGCTGAGAAGCATCCTTAATGTTAAAAAAAAAAAGTTGCAGTAAAACGCGCGTGTAGGAGAGCTCCCTGTGGAAGTCACTCATTGCAACAGTGGAGTCCCGGAAATGTCCCCTGTGTTTGTTGATGAGTCCATCCCCACTCCAGTGAGCGTGTAGTGCTGCCCGCCAGCAGCAGGTCTTCGTTCAGTCCAACACGGAAGACCAGGAGAAGCACTGATTCACTCACCAACACCCCAGGACCCTTTTATTTCTATTTCCGCAGTGATCTATGCAAGAGCGCATCACTGTCCTTATTTTCCAGAAGAGAAAACTAAGAGTAACTTCTTTTCGCAAACTTGCAGGTACAAAAAGACGAAGTGACTTCCTAGGATTAGATGTTGCAGAATTAGGTTCACCCTACCCTAGGAAGAATCCTACTGAGAGCCCTGCGAGTCTCTAGAAATCCAACACAGGACTAGTCTGCCCATGAGATCCTGTGGCCTCAGCGGGCCTGAAGATCAGTCACACGGTCAGCAGGAGCCAAGGGCACTTACTGAAAGGGGTGAATGAAAGAGTTTATGAGGTCCCCAGTTCACCCCTGGTACCAAAACAAACAAACAAACAAAAATTGTAAAAGAGTTGAATGGACAGAGATCTTGACTGGGCTGAGGCAGCTAACCTGAGGAAGCACCAGAGCTTAAACAAGAAGGGCTCTTAGGGCCTCTGAGCTGGAAGGACCAAGGAGAGGAGACAAGCCCTGATCTGGGGGCTGTGTGGGATGAAAGTGCCTTCACTGGGTGTGACCTGTGGCCAAGGAGCAGAGCCACTGCCAGAGAGAGGGCATAGGGGTGCCCAACCTAGCACCCCTCCTAGCTTGCCAGCTCCCAAGGCTGCCCTCACTGGCCCAACCCAACCTGGCAGGAAGCCAAGAGGCAGGGAGCCCTGGCAAGGATTCCCCATGGATCTGTCTCCGGAGACAGGGGCAAGAAGAGGGCGGGTGGAGAGCAGATATGGAGAGGAAAGCGGGGGTAAGTAACACAGTTCTCTCAGGCCAGAGCAGGGGCTGGGACAGTGGACAAGCCAGGTGAGGTCCCTGTCCTCCTGCAGTTCACCATCCAGTAGGGGAAAACCATCCTCAATCAGATATGTATTATATAACCCCAAGGCACAGCATGTCTCAGTAAATGCTAGGAAAGAAAATCAGGCTGCAGACAGGGAAGGGCTCTGGCAGGAGGAGACTGGCTTTGGACAGGATGGTTAGGGGAAGTTTGCAGGAGGTAGCATTTGAGGGAGGCAATCTGGATTTTCTAGGAAGTCTACCTCCATTCTGCTTCCACTCTGGGATTTCTTATGTACTGTATGGGTTAGAATCAAGTCAGGGCTGTGATTTAACGTGTCTCAGCAGTCCTCACAGAAGAAAGGAGGACAAGCCTGGAAGAATGCCCACCACAACAGGCACCTGTGTTTGCATATATCTGGAAATCTCCCCCACAGGAGCATTTGGAAACCCTTTATCTAGGTTCACCTAACTGCTTTGAGGACCCCGGAGCTGGGTTGTTCCTTCCATGTTCCGACACCCCTGCAAGATCAGCAAAGTGGAAACGCATGTTCTAGCCCTCCCTGGCTACACCTCAGCCTTACTTCTGCCATCTGCCTAAAATGCTAGGCAAATAGCAGAATGCTTTCTTTCCTCTTCGCTGGTGGAGCCACCTCTGTGAACTCGAGACAGATTCTTCTCCATCCATCCCCTCACTCCTGATTTTAAAATTAAAAAAAAAAAAAAAAAGCTGCCAAGGAGGTGAACCATGTGTCTAGCAGTTCTCTCCCTCCTGGCCTCTGGTAATACGTGCATTCAACAGCCAGCAGCCTGGCTTTTCTTTTAGCACCCCGCCCCTCAATTTCAGGAGAGCCTGCAGCCTTCACTTGGTGGTCTCCGGGCCATTTTTGAATAGGCAAGATATCTCAGTCAACTGCAGGAGTTTTTCTCCCCTGCCCGCACCCCCCACCCACCCACCCAAATAGTGAATCCGGGCTGAGCCCGGGTTGCTGGCCGCTGGGGCGGATGCTTCCAATCGCACTGACAGCCCTGGGCTGAAGCCTGCGGTGCAGCCAATGGGCAGCGGTGATTTATGGGACTGACGACCGGGGCTGAATGCTGCTTGTCAGCCTCCCAGTGAAGGGCTTCCCTTCCGCACAAGCCCTGGCTTTGTGTTGCTTAGCGATTAGAGCAGATGTAATGAGATTTTGCCCAATCCCTGCATTGTGCTTTCCTAGCTTCAGCAAAATTGTGTGCGTGTGTGTGTGTGCGTGTGTGTGTGTGTTTCTGTGAATTTTTCGAGTTTGCCTTTGCATTGTGGCAAACAACGGCTAACTTTGCCTCCAGTTTAAGGAGGCTGGACATTTTCCATTCACAAGTGCAGAAAGGAACACCTGTCCCGACCAAGAGAAGGGAGAAAAGTCCCCTTCGTGGAGACTGAAACATTATTCTAATATTAGATTCATAATTGTAAGTGACTCACTACACTTTCTCTGCACACCTTATCTGGAACTTTCACAGGGAGTCAAATTAAATGAAAGAGAAATGGGGGGGGCACAGCCCTGGTCCTCCAAATAAGATAAAATAAAAAAGCAGACACCACAAAAGCACTACTCCCTCAAGTAAGCTCTAAATTGGCCCACTGCTGGCAGAAAGTCCGATTATTTATGGCGATGAGGAATTTACTGATTTTTTTCCTCCCCTTAATTACGCTCATCTCTTTGAAAGGGACTGAAGCCGCATTCTATAGAGGGTCATTTAGCAAAATGACATCAGGCGCTGCGTCGAGCTCAGTGCATCGGGGCTTTAAAAAATGATTATTCGGTGCCACTAAATGGTATAGATGTACCAACACAGACTAGATTTTTAACTCTGGAAGACGTGCTGGCTCCCCGCTCTTTGTTGGGTTTTGTAAGATGCGTTTTGCGCTTGGCTTTCCGCTTGGCTGGAGACACGCACGCTGAATCACCAAGTGCTGCCTGCGGCCAGCGAGGAGCAGGCAGAGGCCCAGTAGGATTCTAATCACGTCCTTGCTAACTGACAAGAAGCAAGCCAGCCAAAAACCCACCAATTTCTTTTTGAATCTTGGTAATTGGGTACTTTTACACGCAGCTCACGCTATTTGGATAGAGTCACAGGCTTCCATAGGCGAGTGTCTCAAAGCGACCACACATCTCTAAAATTTATTTAACTCTAACTCCTGTGAGGAGTTCATATCCTCCATGTCTTTTACTTAAAAGCAATATGGAAAGTGTATGCGTGGGGGGGGGGCGGGAGACGTGTGGCTGGGAGTGAAGGAAGCACACACCCCACTGCTTGGAGGGGGATCTGCCCCAACCCCAACCCCCAACCTTTCACCTCCACCCTACCCCAAGCCCACCCGCCTCCTTCTGATCCCGGGGTCTCCCTCAGCCAGGCCTGCAGAGGCTCAGGACGCGGGTGAGGGCCCCAAGGTGGGGTGCGGCATCTTCTCTTCCCAGCTCACATTTTGGAGACGTTCACATGTGCAGCTTATTAAAGGAGGAAGCAACCATTAGCCCGCATTTGTTCTCCTGCGGGTCTGTATGCATTTGCAGCAATAAAATAAAAAACAGACAGTTTTCCTCTACATCCATCACACCATTGCCCCTGGGGTAGGACTGGGGAGACCACCTGTCTCTGTCATTTCTCCAGCCCTGTGTGTTTCATACCAACTTCTCTCTCCCACCCACCCCTTCCCTTTGGCATTGTGATGATAACTTGGCCAGGGACACCCTTGGGTGTCAAAGAAAGCTTAGAGGCAGCTGATTATTTTCACTTTTTAAAAAAGGAAAAAAGTTTTATTACGAAACTAGTTTGTATAAAACAGGGTTATACACGTTTTTGTAAGTTTGTAATAAAACAGTAAGAAAAAAAAAAGGCAGTGGTAGAAATTTCCAAAAGGCAACCCTATCAAAACCATCTGGCTGCCACTTTTTCGTTTGGACAGTAGCTGAATAAACTTTGTTCTTCGTGAACAGGATTTAATAACATCATTAATACATTAGCAACGTTTCTATAAAGTAAGACACATTGGTGCTGAAGTACATCTGGCAGTATTCTGATCTCACCTATGGGGAGAGTTCTTTACAAAAACCACATAGGGGAAACAGCAGTTGTAAGGTGAACTACACAGCTAGAATATGCAGAGGTAATAGCATTACATGTTAAAGTATCAAGATATACACATTTTAAACCATTTGTACAAAACTTCTATAAATTTTTTTCTCTCTCTTTCTCTCTTATGTACAAAAATATCTTAATATATCCCCAAACTGGTTAGGATAGATACAAATAGATTTTTCTTATAATAAAAAAAATTCACAAAAGATTGGAAGCATTCTATGATGAAAACAGTAGAAAAGATGGTGGGAGAGATAGGGTGGGTCTGGGGAGGGGGGGTCCTCGGAGGGGTTCCAGGGTCTGAGTGGGGCCTAGTTTTACTGCAGACGAAGGTCCACAGCTGCACTGGGCTGGGTTACCCGGATGAAAAGGCACCAACCCATTTCTAGAGGGCTGAGCCCTGCGCTTGCTTTGAGAGGGCGCGGGGTGAAGGCAACGCACCGAGCTGCCGCCCCAGCCCGGCCTCGCGGCAGTAGGTGGGAGTTTCTGGGGGCGTGGGCTGCTCGGGTCGCCAGAGACCCCAGCCCAGGCCAGCAGCCTCCTTGTGCGCAGACTCGGCACCCGCCGCTCTCTGCATCCCGGTGATGACTTGCACTGCCAGACGCGACTCGGAGCACACCCTTATTTTCCGAGCGCCTCGCCTCGCAGGCGTGCGTGGATGAGTGGGCCCGGGGTCGGTTGCCTGCTGCTTTTGTTTTTGTGTATATGTGTTTTCTTCCTTTATTTATTTATTTTTCTTTCTTTCGCTCCCTCCCAACATCGCCAAGAAAAGCACTAAAGGTACGGGTTGTGCGGTTCACCCTGTAAGAGAAATAGAACGAAGTTAGTGCGGACTGCGAGGGTCGGGTCTTGGCGGAGGTCGGGAGGTCCTGGGGGGCGTGACCGACGCGACACCTTCCAGGAGGGGCCCCCGCCTCCGCGGCAGCGCCTCCGCAGCTCACCCCCACCCCGCACTCCTCGGAGACCTGGGCAAAGCCACTTCCAGAGGCCAGGGCTGGAACGAGTCCTGGCTTTGGAACTGGCAAACCTTAACACACTCCTTAAATTAAAGAAACAAACAACAACCTTGCACCTCCGTGGGGAAAGCTCCGCTTCCGGCCAGGCACTCAAAGGGAGGGAAAGCACCAGGCCACAGAGCCTCCCTCGCCCCGCGCGCCCCGCGCCCACCTACCTGCCGGCGAAGTCCCTCCGCCCCGGGCCCGCGCGGCCGAGCGCCTCAGAACCAGTTGGTGAAATCCAGCAGCTCTTGCTCCTCCGGGCTGAGCGGGTCGTACGAGCCCTCGTCGGACGAGTAGGACGAGACCGGCGAGCCGGCCATGGAGTTCATGTCGTTGGAGTAGCCGGGCGAGATGGTGGGCGACAGCACGCCCGCCTGGAAGGCGGCGCTCACGGCGTCGTGCTCGTCCAGCAGCTGCTGCAGCGCGCGGATGTACTCGACGGCCGAGCGCAACGTCTCCACCTTGCTCATCTTCTTGTTGGCCGCGCCGTTGGGGACGTGCTCGCGCAGCGTGGCGAAGCCCAGGTTCACCAGCTTGACGCGGTTGCGCTCGCGCTCATTGCGGCGCGCCACGGCGGCCGGCTGCTGCTGCGGCAGGCTGTAGCCGAAGCCGCTGAAGTTGAGCCGGCGTTTGCAGCGCATCAGCTCGGGCGAGGACGAGCGCTGGCGCTTGGCCTGCTTGGGCGCCGACTTGTGGCCGCCCCCCGCGGGCTGGCCGTCGGCCGCCGGGCTCAGCGGTGGGGGCTGCGTGCCCTGCGAGGCGGCCGCGGCGAAGAAGCAGGCGGCGGGCGGCAGGAAGGGCTGCGCCGGGGGCTGCGGGCCGGCGCCGGCGCCCTCCCTCGGGGCCGAGCTCTCCATGGCGCCGGGGACGCGGTGGAGCGGGGGTGGCCGCGGAGGCGAGAGCAGAAGGGAGCGCCGGGAGGGAGCCGGGGAGTTTTCAGAGCCCGCCCGAGCCCCGGGAGGCTTCCCGGAGAGGGGGCGCAGCCCGCGCCAGCGCGCCGCCGCCTCCGCCCCTCCGCCCGCCGCCGGCCGCGGGAGCCGCGCGTGGCGCTCGCGTGTGAGGCCGCCGCCGGCGCCTTCCTGGGCTGAGGGGAAGGAGGCGAAGGAGCTGCGAGTCAGCGCGAGCGCGCCCGCCGCCCCGCGGCCCGGTCCCCGCTCTCCGGGCCCCGCCTCGGTCTCCGGCCAGCGGCCGCGTTCGGGCTGTTTATTATTTCGGGAACCCCTTTCGTCCTCGGGTCCTCCCGTCCCTCGCCCGCCCCGGCCGGCCCGTCGGGCGCCCTCCACGCTCCTGGCCGTGGTGAGAGCGCTGGGCGCCGGAGCGCGGCCGCCTTTTCTACGGGCGACCGGCCCCGCTGGCCCCGCCCCCAGGGCCCCCGCCCCGCCCCGCCTCCGGCCCCGCGCCGCGCAGGGCGAGCTCCATTCAGCCGCGTTTGTTGTCGCAGTGCGTGCGCCTGGCGCGTGCCGGCTCCCGGCTGAATAAACAGGCGGCGCGCTCGGGCGGGCTGTGGCCGGCGGGGGCGGCGCCAGGGAGGGGGCCGGCGCGCCGCGGGGAGAGCGGCCCTGCAGGGCGCAAAGTTTCGGGGTGACGCGCTCTGGGCGGCTCCTACGCTTGGAGCAGCACGCAGGGGAGGTTTGGACAGGAAAGTGGCCCGGGTACCGGAGCGTGTGCAGGGGATGGAGGCTGGGGCTCTGCTATTGTTACTCTTTCTTTCCGTTTTTCTGCCTGCTTTGACTCTCTGGAGCCCTTCAGAGGTGACCCTAACGTAGGATTGAAGTTTAGGAAGAGCCATGGGGGCAGTGGCCCGCGTGAGACTTGGATTCTACTCGCCTCGGATCCCCTTCTCAGCCCTGTGGTTCTTGGTCATTGCCAGCTTCTCCGTGCCTCCGTTTTCCCTCTGTACCCTTCATCTGGTCGCATTAAATGATGAGCTTGGGGTGGCTGTGATCCGCGCCGCCGGGCTCCCCCTTGTCCCTGGGCGACCCCGCTGCTCCTCCCTGTAGCACCCCCCCCCCCCCGTAATATTTTTGGTCCAGGAGGCCGCGGGCGCCTTGGCGCAGGCTCCTTCCCGCCCCAGGCGTGTGCCCGGCCGGCCGGTGGCAGGCGACTGGGAGCCGAGCCCGGGCGGCCGTGTGCTGCCGCCGCCTGGGAGGGGGAGGCGCCTGCCCGGCCGCCCTCGCTGGGCCCCGGCCTTGGCGCGCTCCAGCCGGACCCCGTCCAGCTCCGGATCGCCCGGGGACGCGGCGCCTGGGCTAAGGAGCCGAACCAGTGCCCTGGGGGAACCGCCTGGGAAGGGGCAGAACCAGGCGGATCTGTCCAGGAGGAAAACTGGAGTGCAGGAATAACTGGGTGAATTACGCGGATAATTGCTCCTAATTGAAAGTCCCCCTGTGGAGATGGGTCTTTCTGAAGGGTCCACAGGGTGACCCAGGGAGCCGCCCTCCGGCTGCCTGTTCGAAATTCTCAAAGCCGCAGTGGTCCTGGTGAGCAGTGAGGTTGGATGGTGCCGCAGGCCGATCGCCTCTCCTCTGCCTCAGTTTCCTCTTTGTAGAGGACTAGGTTTGAGAAGCACAGGACCCAGTTCCTGCCAGCAGAGGTCAGTTCTGCAAACCTCTAGGCCCGAAGCCCCTGTGGGCCCTGCAATAACCCCTGGCTTGCCGACCTCGCTAAGGCCACTATGCCTTCTCAGGAGTGTGTGGGGTGAGCAGGCCCTCAGGGCCACCCCGCTGCAGCCAGGCCTCAGGCTGGGGATCTGTGCAGCCCTGGTAGCCTCAGTCACAGTCACCCGATGCAATAGGGTTATCCAGGCGCTGCCCACCCCTGCACCCCCGTGCCTCTTCAGGAAAAGTTTGGGTAGGGGTAGGGTGTGGTTAACATTCGTTCCTTTAGATTCCTTCTTCCTTCGTATGAAACTGAATCATGCAAGAATCCTGAGCTCCCTGCCAGCTGCAGCTCTATTGTTCTATATTCAGTGAAGGTTCCGAGTCCCCTGTGGTGAATAGTACCTTCATCAAGCCCCTCTTCCTCTACCTGCCTCAGTTTCCTTGTCTGCACAGGAGAGGCCTACAGGAGCTACTTTCAGAAGCCATACCTAGGAGTGCAGAACATTTGCTGATGGGCAGTGTGAGTTCTGGGCTCCAGCCCCACACCAAGGCCCTGACCACCAGCACCGCCCAAGCAGGCCATGGATGGCCTCTGAGGGGAAACCCCGAGTCAAGCTTGCTTTCCAGTGCCGGTGTGCTTGGCCTCAGCTCAGGAGAAATGGCAGTGGGGATAATGATGACCCAACCAAAGCCACCAGTAAGCGTGTCCCTCTACTACCCACTCCAGCCCCTCCCGCCCTGCTCTCTTCACCTTTGCAGGCTGCATCTGCTTCCTCACAGGGTTTGCAGAGCTTCTCATGCTCTTCCACCTCCAACAGGCCCAGAGGCTACACCCCAATACCATCCTCTCCATCTTCTCCTAAGGCAGAGGCGTCTAGATCTCTGCCCTTGGGAATCCTGCACCACCCAGGTGGCGCCAGGTGTTTCTGCTTCAGCCCGGTCACCTCCACTCCATCCTTCTGGGAAGAGAAGCCAAAAGTGTTTTCAGTTTGGAGCAAAAGACTGAGGCTCCAGGGTCAAAATCAGAATCCTGCCTCTGACCCTGTGACCTAGAGTGTGACACAGGGCCACCCTTCTGTGGAGCCTCCAAGCTGTGGGACCTCAAGCACAGTGCACATTGCTTGCTAGCAGGCCACAGGGATGGCACCTGGCTACCAGAGTTGTGTGCTCTCAGTGTGGTGTACTTGGGAGCCTGTGGACTGACCGGGAAGTCATGCTCAAAGCCCACCCAAGAAAGGGTCCGTGAGACAGTGGTGGGGCAGCTTTTGTCGCTACTACTAAATAGCTGAGATAATTTGTTTATAAAAAGTGTGTTTTGGCTCACAATTTTCCAAGTTTCAGTCCATGATTCATTGGCCCCATGGTTTGGGACCTGTGTCAAGGCAGCACATCGTGGCGAAAGTGCATGGTGGAGAAGAACCACTCACCTTCTGCCAAGAAAGCAAAAGAGCAAGAGGGAGGGGTGGGGCTTCCACAGTTGTCTTCATGTCCCGGTCCCCAGTGAACTAAGAACCTCCCACCAACTCTAACCTGGGGACAAAGACTTTAACACACAAGCCCTTAGGAGATATTCAAGACCCTAACTACAGTAGAAGGGGAGGCTCAATTCTTGAGTTCCTGGACCACACTGTGAGGATCATTCCAGCCAGCGGAAATCCAGTGCTGTCCCAGCTTCCTGTCTAGGCCTCCAAAGATAAATAATTCCCTTTATTTTTGAAGGATAGTAGTGATTCTGGTTGTGTTCGTTACTTTTCTCTCGTTGCTGAGACGAAATACCTAGCACCAAAAGTTAAAGGGGAAGGGGTTTATTTGGCTTACAGTTTATAGAAGGTTCAGTTCATAGTTGGTTGGCCCCAAGACAGGGACAACATGGTGCACACAAAGTAGCAAAAGCAACAAGGGAAGCAGTTCATGGTGACCAGAAGGTAACAAAAGCAACAAGGGACCTTAACAGAGTCTTTCTGCCCCTTTTATCCCATTCAGACTACCAGGGCTAGGGTGGTGTCAAACCAATCACTCATGTGTAGTGGTTTAGAAATCACAGGCCCTTCACTCCAGCGTCACACATTTCAGGTTCAGCCACCTCTGACCAAATGAGGCTTTGGGGGAACATCCAGACCCAAACCCTGACACTGGCTGGCAAATCAAGGTGATGGAGATAGGAAGCCCATTTCTGTAACAAGAACAGCAGGACAAGATGGAACATAGACTCACTCTGTGACCCTCGCATGAAAAGTGGCTGAAACAGCCTCCAGCCCGGACTTCCTGGGGCTGCCCTCTGCCCTGTGTACCTGGCTGTGTGGAAGTCCCCAGAGTCCTACCTGACCTGGACACTTGAACATGGTCCCATTGATCTGGACATGATGAAGAAAACAATTCATGCAAGAAGCGTTTGAAAGTATCACCCACAAATGGGACCGTGGGCCACATCTGCCCATCTGCCAGGCTGGCATGAGGGCGAAGTCAGATGCTGTTGGTGAGTTGCTTCATGAGGCTCCCCCCAGAGGCCAGGAATTGGCTCTTCCTCCTTCCAAGTTGCAGCACACCAGCCGCGTTCTGTCTGTTCTGTCTCCTGTCCGGGAAAGGCGAGCCACTGACTCCTTTGGACATTGCTTAGAACATAGACCTTCCAGGAAAAGGGAACAGGATGAGTTTTCTTTCTCCTTCAGCACAATAAAGGACTTCATCTCTACCTTTGGGCCACCCTGAGTGGGATCATCAGGAACTGGACCATACTTAGGCCCTTTTCTGCATTTAGCACCAAGGTCTATTTGAGAAGAGGGCTTTCCTAGCAGTCCACATGGATCTGCCATCCCACAGACCTGAGACCCTGGTGCCCTGCATCTTTCCTGCCATGCTAATTCCCACACACCGCCTAAGCCAAATCAGTACCATCCGCAGTCGTGTGCCATCTCTCAGGCCCCACAGTGTGCGACTTCTCTCGGTGGGAATGGGGTTGTGCCCCTCTCTTTGGAAAATCCCCTTCCTACTTTTTATTTGGAGAGCGAAGTGAATGATAAAGGTGAAGCTAGATGCTCTAGGAGATGAACCCTTCAATACAGTTCTCTTTCTCGTGGATAACAATCAAAGAGTGCACAAGCCCCTTGGATTCTGGATTCAAGATTACAAGATTTGCTGGGGGGGGGCCGTGGCCTGAGTCACAGGAACTTGGGACACTCTGAGGAAAGGATGGAGCTGATCACAAACGTGCAGTGTATCACAGGCTGTTCCGGTGGCCGTAACACGGGGGCCTGTGTCCAGTGGGGTGTGCTGCATCAAGCCTGTGCTAGGAGTGACTGCCCTAGGGAGGGAAACATACATGACTATACAGGTGCTGCCTCCACCTCCACCCCTCCCTTCCCTTCCAGGTGACAGGGCCCTGGGAGGAGGCCCAGCTCCTGG